AAGTAAACATGGAACAGTCTTCTCAGGAGGAGAAACATGTAGTCAGATGGCAGCTGAGGGGAATTAAAGAGGGAGCCATTAAAGTAGAGAAATGAAGCCTCAGCGTTCAAGAAAATACTGATGGCAGTCCAAAGAAAGGTGGTGTTGGAAAGACATGGGTGGGTATGACAAGTGCAGGTGAAGTATTGCATGTTCTCAGATTTGTAATGTGCATATTGCAAGAATTGAACCATAGGTTCATACAGGTTGGAAGGATGTTCAAACAGCATCTAGTCCAGTGTGTTGTATCTGGAAATTATGCTAGTCTTAGTACTGCCCCATCCATTTCCCACTTGTATTAAACAGAAAAAAAATCAGAAAAACCAAGCACTCTCTGTTAATGGGAAGCCTGGCAGGAGCTGAAGGCACTCAGAGGACAAGGCTGCTGCTGACTGTCCTCCTTTTGCTGGTTCTGGTTTTCTAAGTGTTTTCCTCATATCACTGTGTGGTGCACACTGGAAATGATCAATCAAGGCTCACGCACAGGATCTTTCCATGCTGGCAAGTGAAAAATCAATTTGTGTTTGAAGGAGTAAACAGTAGCATGAGCTTCATTTCCCCAGAGTCAAAATGGATTCCTTGATAAAGGAGATGACAAGGAAAGCTGAGCTCTTGATGTATAAGCACATAGGTGCTCATGTGCAAGAAATGAGTGGACTCCTACATTCATTTTCCATGCTACACTTCCCTTTTCAATAAAACAAAGATAGGAAGAAGAGATTACTTGTTGAATGCCAATTGTGCATCCATAAAACCAGGGGGTTTGCTCATGAACAGTTTATACAGATGAAAATGTAGTCGGTCAGTTCTGGAAAAGACATTATTCATGGTGTATTTCTGCTTTATGGCACTACATTTGAATTTTCAGAACTATTTTCACAAGTCTGTTGGAAGATTGCGTTGCTAACATTTCTGAGAAATGTCTGCTGTTGGATGTAAATTACAGGGAAAATAGTCTTTGCATGATATTTCTGTGCCACGAAAACAAAATCTGATCTCATGCAGGTTATAAATTGTCCAGGAGGTAAGAGTAGTCAAGGAACTGTAGAATGAATAAATGGAAGGTTAGACCAACGTGGCTCATCAGATATTGTAACCATTCACCCAATGTCATTTGATCTCTATAACATTAAAGGCTACTATTCCCTCACTCTTAGATTCCTGCCCTCCTTCCCTCCCTTTAAAGTTCAGCACTGAGCCACCCAAGCCATACATTAAACCCTTTGGTTCCACATCATTTAAGCTCTCTCCTCTCTCCTGTGAGACCAAAAAGTGAAGAAAGCTGTAGAATACTGGCTTGTATTAGGTGGAATATTTTGCCATCTGACCTTTCCTTTTTTTTCCTTTTTTTTTTCTTTTTTCTTTTTAGCAAGCAATATTTAAAAGTAAACATGAAGCATTTTGATGCAAAAGAGGTTTGCCAGATTAAAAGGAAATTGGAAGATGAGTTCAGTGTAGCATGTAGCTGTTGTGAAATCTCCTTGTTTTGATTGAAGTTTTATTACCTCAGGATGTCTGTCTGCAGCTTATATGCTGTTCTTTAGTCTGGGGTTTGTGAATGCACTGCTGGCTGAGAGAAGAGCTCAGGATGTGAATTGCAACCACTCAGTCTTGCAGAAGCCAAATTCCTGGAATCTGTCCTTTCCTTGATGCTGCTCATGAAGGAAGAAAAGCACCAAGAGAATGCACAAGTGCAAACTGCGCCCTCCTTTTTAGACTCTGATTAGTGGTGAAAGCTGAAGAGGGGAGAGAGGGGACGGAGAATGACATAATGGGTCCTAAAATGCTTGATTTTTATTACATTAGGAAAGTAGTAGTATGGGATGAATGTCCAATCTTGACTAAACAAGAGGGTCGTGGCAGTTTATTAATGGCAGTTCTAATAACAATTTGTTGTAGCGCTAGCACTTGAGAAAGTGATGAATATTGTATCTGCTCTGTTTCATTCTGTCCCAGTGAATCTGTGCTTGGATGCCATGGTGTGCCATGTGGGCCCGCTTACACTTGTTAGCTGAATGTGAGTGTTTATGGACAATTAAACTTGCAATTTTTAATTCACACTTTGAAAGGTTGAGAGGTTGTTTTTTCTTCTTTTTTTTTTTTTTCAAGACACTCTAAATTTCTAATAGATCTGTGCCTTTCAAGTCTCTTAGAATGTGCAACTGCAGCATGAATTTAGAAAAATGGTCTCATTTCTTTAGCAATCCATTAATAGTAATGTACTGAAAGACTCTTACATTGATCTTCTCTCTGATAGCCATGTTGTAATAATTATTCTTTTAATGTTTGCATCAATCTAAATGTTTTCCTCTTTGTGCTTGCTTCTACTTGGATCTGCCTATATGACAATCACAGCACTTTGACATCTTGCATTACTTTAATACCAGTGATTCAAAACAAAGCAATGCCAAAGGGAACAAAAGTTCTGTCAAGCCATTAAAATCTTCTTTGCCATTAACACAATTAAATTGATGCATGAGCATTTAAAGTTATTAGCAAGTGCTGCCAGCAGAAGCTGGTTACAATTGCATAATATATAGTGGGCTTTATTAAAGTAAAATGGTATGTTTACTGTTATTATCATCATTAGTTCTGAAGTAACATAAACTTAAACAGGGCTGTTAATTGGGAGAGGACTGTGAGACAACCAAGAACATGCTCTGCCCTGTATTAATAGTGAGGGACACAGTCATCACTTTTCTAAACAAAGAAATACACATTGGCGAATCATTACAGCTAGCATGTGTAATGGTAGGGAAGGGTGTTAAATAAAGAGAGCTTCTGTACCTCTGCTGCTCTCACTCTTCCCAGTCTGACTCACTCAGCTGGATTTTGGGCTGCTCCTGTTTCTGCTGTGAGAAATTTTGTGGTTGATGTGAGCTTTTTGGAGGACTGTTTGTTTTGTTTTCTCATATTCCAACATATTAGTTTTTCAGCTAAAAAGAATGAGGCTTGTATTAGAGACGTGTTCTGTCCCAGTGCACAGTGCAGTAATACCCCTGCTTGCTAACCTTTTGATTAACTATATTCCTCACTGAATGGGGAGCTGGCATGAGGAATGGTAAACACAGATGAGCAGAGAACTTAAAAGTATTGAGAGAGAAAAAAGTAATTTAAGTGAAAAGTAGGGAGATGAAGGAAGTCCCATCAAGTCCAAGTCCTGTCATATAAGGACTGCATGCCTGTTGCAGTTCATGCTGACCACACAAGGGCAGTTCTCAGACGGGTTTATTAGGTAATTTGAGCTGAGTGGAAACTGGAGACAAAAAATAAAGCTATTTTTTTGGTTGTTTGACAGTTTTAAGGTGATATTGTGGCAAATTATAATCTATAATAGATAAAAATCACTGATATCCCTGTGGTGTAGTCATATTCACTTGGGTAATCCTTTACCAAGATACTGATGAACTGTTGGGAATTCAGAGAACGGTGATTAAATAAGCCAAAGGAGAGGAAAATCTGGTTTATCAGGAAAAAAGGTAAAAGTTGAACACAGAGCATTTGAGTAAAGTGGAGTATAATTCTGCATGTCTGTGTATGGTGTAAATGTGAAGGGAAGTAATGAATTACTTCTACTAGTGGAAAGACCTCTACAGAAAAGCTGAGTTGACAATGAAAACAAAGTTTTAACCATTATAAAGGAAGTACCTAGTAGTTTACAGCACTCCATATTTTATTAAGGGAAGGAATGGGAGACCCATTTCCCTACAGTTTTCAGGTCAGACTAGCCATAGTACTAGAGGATACAGGGGACATCTGCTGCATTAGCAGAGCATGAGCTTGGTGATCTAAGAGGTCTCTGTGGTCTTTGACTTCTGTAGCTGTGTGGATTTATCCATGAAGCTTAGTTCTGGCTGAAATGCAGGCAGAAGGCCATGGTCAGTGCTTTGGTCATACTCTATAGCAGATTAGGATGACAGGGATTAAGTTTAGTCATGACTCTCTTTCACCAAACTAGTAGCTAAGGGCAATAAGGTAGAAGAATCAGGCAGAGAAATCTCCCTGAATATTTATGGCACAGAGGATTTACCTGTGCTTTGGTAACTTCCTGAATATTGTCTCTTCCTCTCCTGCTTTACCCCATGATAAGAGCCCACCATGGCTCTCTGCAAGTGCCAGAGTGGCTGTACATACAGGTCACATCTGCCTGTTGTTTCTGTAATTGTTCGCAGTATTTAAAGGTTTTGTGCTCTTTCATATCCTTAGAATGAGGGATTGTGGCAAATGCTGTAAGTGCCATTTAACAAGTATTTTCAATTGGAATATATTAGCAGCATCACTCTGTGTGGGGGGGGTCTGGTTGGGTGCAGAGGTAAATTGAATCTTTCTAAGGGGAGAAGGAGCAGCTGTCAGGCCTCTTGAGGTGGATACCTGTGTGCTCTGCAGGCTGCAGAGGACACTGAACCTGCAACAGGCTGATGGAGTGAGGGACAACAAAATCAGCAACCACCCTTATAGTCCAACCAGTATTTTACTACAGTATATATTTAAGTTTTAGGAGCTGTCTGGGCTGTTAGCCTATTAAGCTGTAGGATAAGATAGTTGATGATAACAGCTTTCTCCTGTTATCACCTCTGTCCTTCTCTGCAGCATGTGGCAAGTTAAACCAAACCTCACCCTCTCTCTGAAGGCTGCCGATAGGAGTAACAGTGGGATCTTCTTCAATTACAGAAGTTTCAGGCAATTCCACTGCCAGTTCTCAACTGTGAGGAAATCAGAGTACTTTATTGCTTCAAAAGTGTCGTTAGTAACACAAAGCAGCGTGGAAGAAAAAAACAACTTTTGACAAAACGAGTCCTGCTGATGATTTATGTTGATCTGAACTAAAAAATTTGGTAGGCAGCAAGCATGGATACAGCAGTCTTCAAACAGAGGAGGTTGCTTGTTAGCTGTTCACCTGTGTGGTTGAACTTTGCATCCAGCACCTGACTAAACATTTCTTTTTTTTTCTTTAAACCTAGGTTGCCCTTCCCAATGACTCCAGCTGTGTGGAAGAAATACTGCGGGTAAGTAATATCCTTTGCTTTTTTATCTCCTGTATAATTGTAGTGCTGTTATTTTCATCTTCCAAGGAGAGGGTTTATAGGGCTATCTTTAACACTGTAGTTAAATAATAACATATCAGTGGGTCTGTATTAAGAGACATAGACGGGGGTAGGCCCAGGGTACTCCTTAGTGAGATAAGTTCACCTAAGACTCTGCATCTGCCAGCTTGTTTCAGTCAGGATTTACACATGTTCCTGTTCTTTTCAAGCTCTCAGTCCCTGAGTCTATACAGGACACATTTCTCTCCTACCCTGAGGTACAGTTGTCTTAATTCTTCTACTCACAAATTGACTTTCAGTCTTTCTCCTTCCTCTAGACTACAATTGCTCATCATTCATGGTTTTGTTAAAGACTTACAGACATGTTTTTTGTGTGATCTTTGGTCAGTGGTTGAATGCAGAAAATTGCAACTCCAAACTAAGATTGGCTTAATTGCAACAAGATCATGTAATAAAAAAAAGGGAGTGTGCACAAGTTGTATCCTTTACTCTAAGTGTAAGATGGGCTTCTCCTCAGACACCCCAACTTTGGGGCTCCCTGTTGGCAGTGAGATTTGCCTCTGGGCAGTTTTGCAACCCACCAGTCCCTCTCTCAGATTTAGGTTTTTCTCCTCATGAGTTGAGTTTCCCATCTGTCACAGCTACCTGCCTGGGAATGCCAGCCACCCAGCTGATTTTTGGTGTAGAAGGGATTAAAATTTCAGTGGGAATTTGTGCCAGCCATGTCCTTGTGACTGGAGGTAGTGCTGCAGACTTACCCAGACCTGAAATCATGTGTAACAGTCATGCCAGTTTGTTTGCAAAGACTTACTCTAGCTTATAAAATAAAATAAGCTTCTCACTATTCATTGCAATTCAGAGTTAAACAGCTTGGAAAAGTTGCTCCTGGTTTCTGTACACACATTATCTTGGGCTGCTCTAGATGTCCTTATGTGTTGCTGCAGAAGTGTGTTGAGGCAGCAGGCAGGTGTGCTTGTGCAGACCTGCTGTAAGGGAGAAGATCCTGCACGAGCACCCAGGAGCAATGAATGCAAGGAAATAAATAATATTTACTTTCAACCTTCAAAGTGAGCAGAGGTTTATTACCTATAGAACGCTAAGGGAGCAAAAGCGAAAGAAATGTTGAAAGGCTCTGCGAAATATTTGGTACATTTTAAATGTCTTCTTTATATATTTCAATTAAGTTCATTACTATATTCGGAATGAATGACTTGTTGGCTGGGGAAAGCAGTTGTTTTCAGTAAAAAGCATCAAAAGAAAATGTGATGGGGTGAATTTCAGGGATCAATCATCCAGGTGACATTTTTAATGTGGGAACAGTGCATATAAATCACAGGAAGTAGAAATGTCTTTTTTCTAATCAAGATGGTGACCCTATTTCCTATGCCATGACTGTAATTTGAGTCAACAAGCACAATATGCTGGGCTTCCTTCTGAAACCTGTTGAGATGGGAGCAGGATTTTCTGTTGCCTTTAGAGGATGGGGATGAGCTGCAGAATCTCTGCTTCTGCTGCTAGTGGGCCATTGAACCTGGGGACACTCTTAGGGTGACAGAACGGATTGAGCAGGATTCTGTGTCTCTGGGGATCTCTCTCACAAGGACATGCACTGAGCCTGTGAAGAAGAGATACAAACCAGCAGATCTTTCTGGACTACAGCTGCAGGTGCCCAGAGGCATTCCTCATGCCCATCCTGGATTAAACCTGCTGGGCATAGCTGCTGGCATGGCCAGAAGGCACCTGGAGCACACGACACCTGTATTGGGGTGCAGATACAGCCTTGGCACGTGGACCTCAGCCATGGCTCCCCCAGGGTGCTCCCCTCCATGTGGTGCTGCTTCCCAGGGGCTCTGTGCCCTCGGCGTGGCCTTGGGCTGTTCTGGGCACCCACAGGCTGCCTTCAGCCTTTTGTAACCTGCCTGCACTGGGCTGCACAGTCCTGCCTGTGTGAGCACAGCAACCCAGAGCAGCTTTGGGACTGCTCAGCAAAGACAACCCCAAGGAGACCCTGGCCCCAGCTGAGTGCCCTCAGGGCAGCGGCTCAGGATTCCAGCTGCACGTGGTGCTGAAGCACACCTGGCACTAGAAGTACCTGGGTTTTGTGAGTGTTTTACTTATTTTCTCTCCATTGCCTTTCAAGTAGAATATGATACCCTGCGTGCAGCCAAAACACATTTCCTGCTAGCTTGCTCTGCATCATAAATTTGAGAAGAACAAAGTAAGAGAATGTGATGCCCAGCAGTGGTCAAAATTCAGTCTTTGGGCTCCCCATGGAAACTATGTCAGAAGATTCAGGCTGGCTGCTCCAGATGAAAGAATGACCCTTGGTTTCAGCAGAAATTTGCATTTTGAGAACCTGGATTAAGTTTCCAGCCTGGCCAGGTACTTCTTGGCCTTTCAGGGCCATTTACATATGCTCTGATGAACTTCTGGTAGTGTGGGTCTCAGCTCCCTCATGGCAACTTCTTTCTGCAAAAACACCTTGTCATTCACATTTCTATCCTCTTAGGGATGTTACAGAGGTAAACACAAAGGATTCCAAAACAGTCGAGCCCCAAAAGTGGATAGTTGGGCTGTAATTGTGTATTTTGCCCAACCAAACCATTGGCAACCCCTGGCAGTTTCTGCTCTGAGCTGTGTCTGCTGTCAGGCTGCACTCCCCAAAGAGCCGGGGAAGGGTACTCTGCCTGGCCCTTGCCCTTGGAGCAGTGCATACTTTGAAGTTTGCATTTTATTTATGGTTTTGATTTGTTTTAGTTTTTTAAGGTGGGGAATCAAGTGATTTATTTCATCTCCATCCCTCAGAAAGACACAGTAACTTTCGAGGGTTTCTTTGCTAGACTTTACAAGGAAGAGGTACTCCTTCAAAGATCTGTGACCTCTGATTTTACACAGCTCTTTTTTCAAGCTGAACTTGATTAATGGTTTCTGTAATTGTAGAGGTTTGTAATTCCTAATCTGTTGTCTTCTTTTTCTTTTTTTTTTTTCCCATCTTGAACAAAAAAGACTTAATTGAATTTATATTCTAAAATTTTCAACCAAGTGAGGGGAAAGGTCTTGACTTCATTCAGACCCCTGAGTCTTCAGAGACAAAATTTCACAGTCCTTTAGATTTCCTGAAACACTTAGCTACTTATGTCATGTTGTATAAATGCCTTAAGGACTGCTCCCAATACTACAGCCAAAGGTTAATGGCAGACCAGTCTCCTGCTGATTTTACTTTTCTAACCAGGATGGCTGAGAAGGTTGTGAAAAATAATAATAAATGATAATAATAATAATAATAATAATAATCACCATCATCTCTTATACAACTAAGGCCAAACAGTAATGATAGCACAGATTGCATTTAACATAGGCTGCTAATACCAAACTGAAAGAGAAAGGCAAATACCTGGTGATCTACATTTTTCTGTTCCAAAATATTTTGGTTTTTTGTTTTTTTTTTTCCAACCAATGCGATGGTTTTGAGAGTGTGGATAATGTGGAAGACAGGGAATTAAAAGTATGTGCATGTAATTCACATTTTATTAATACTGATTTAAATTAAGTTGTCACTTGCTATGTGCATCCATTGAAAAATGAGTTCATTGAAATGTTGTGATCCAAAGTGCAGATGGGGTGGGAGAGCTGACATTTAAAACCAGTCTCCAAAGCTGTTACTTGTGCCACTGGTACCAGTGTTTACATCAGTGTGCCTTGCTGTCACTGCATGTGATGTGAACCATGTGCTGGCCCAGGGAAAGGAGGTGTATAGGTGACACTGAGGGTGAAGAAGCAATGATCCTTTTCCTGTCTGTGGAGGGCCTTAGCCTTGGTTTACCCCCGGCTGAAGAGTTGATAAGCGTGCAACAGCGCACAGGAGAGAAAGGACATTTTTTTAAACTACATATTCTGGAGGACTTGGAGTGTAAACTGGAAATTTGGGCTGGGTGTTCAGGCAATCAACTGGACATAACCCAGCACTGCAGCTCTCATGGCTGTATCGTAACCACCTAGGCAGGCGCTGCTGTCTGGAAATCAGTCCCTGCTTAGGGGAACAAAAGAATTCTTGTACGTGCATATTCACAGTAGGAAGGCATCAAGTAACTAGATGGACTTCTGATGGTATGTGGACAGCTGTGATACTAATTAGAAGCTTTCTAGTCTGGATGCAAAACAGATCCCAAATATAGTTCAGATTGTAATAAGTGTAAAAATGACCGGAGTTAAATGAGCAAAGTCTGCAATTTGTATGGTCGCCTTCTGATGACTAGCTCCTGTCTAATGACATGGGAGAATATGTAAATTGATCAGCAGGTGAAAATGCCCTTGCCTCTGCAAATTATATGTAGGATTACCTTCCTCATGCCAATTGAAAGCACTAAAGGATTTAATATGTCTCACCCACAGCTGAAGTGAGCTGTTCAAATAGCAAAATTAGACTGTAACAGATATAGCCCATTATTTGCCCCTCAGTAATTGTTTTCTCTTCTAAAATACAAACAACATTGAAGAATGATGCTAAACCTAATTACAATAATTGTAATTTGAAAAATACAGGTAGGCTGTCCAGTGTGGTTACAAATGCACTTAGTAGCTGACGGGTAGTTTAAATATTTTCATGTGGAGTCTGGGGGCTTGCTGGGGAGGACATGATGTGAATTTAAAATGATTATCCAGACGTCACTGGACAAGTGAATAACGAGCTGACTGGCCTAGTAAATCATGTGAACCTGTCAAATGTGGGAACACGTTGGGGAGGAGATGATGTCAAGTAACAGTAACTTAGCAACCTGGCATTTAGCTGTCCAGAGAATGAGTAAGAGTAGCCACTTTTAAATAGCTGAGTAAATAAATGAATCCCTATACGTCTTAGGTGTGCTATAAAAATAGCCCAGCACCGTATGTTTTGTGTCAAGCTGCTTCTTTCTCCTGGATAAGGTGATTTATTATTTCTATTGAAATGAAAAAATGGATTG